TCACTGCTGACCCACAAAAAACTCACCCCATCTCAAACATTCTCACAGAAATGGGCAAAAATGGAAGCGCACACGCCTTTATTGTTAAAAATCCGTTTTGTAAAGGTAGAGCATTTGTTTTATGGTGTTTAAAGGGGAAACATAAAACATACTCCAGTAGAGTTAAACGCGGGAAACACGAGTTTCTCTAAAAACTCAGATATTTAGAAAAGTCATTTCTGATCTGTCATTCCTAATCGGTAACAGCTGTATGTATCTGTATGAGCATTTTCTATAACAATAACCCCAGTCTGTTTCAGGAATGTGATTATATTAGTACTTACAGGAAGGCAAATGCTGCAAAGTGGTAAACAAAGTACAAGCAATACAGCAGAGAAATAACAAATCACCCACATTTGCAAGATCCAATTAGAAGCTTAAGGCAAAGACAAGTGTGCATGCTGAGACATGAAGATGTCGAGACCGCTTTCCTTGTAACTCGTGGCTTGGAAACTATGCGTTTGTTTGTGAGAAAACAAGTCAGAAAGAAAAGGGAGATAACGACAAGGTGATGATCAGGCGAGATAGTATTTCAGCTGTTGCTGTCAGTTTTTTGGGTGAAAGCAAGAGAGACAGAAAGAAGGAAAGGAAGATCTGTGTGAAAACGAGGAAGACGCTCTGAGTGTCTGTGCGGGGGTCACACAGAGAGAGTGAAGGAAGCAGATATGGAGGAAGGAAGGAAGGAGATAAAGGTAGAAGGAGGGAACATTCCTTGTGGCTTTGCTGGGGAAGATGAATTATTCAGAAAGTTTAACGCACACAGTTGAAACTACCCCTCGAACTGCTTAATAAATCCTGCCGTTCAAAGTATTATTGACATGTAATAGAGCAGAACTATACCACTACAACAGAATCTTATCACGATTACAAGGAAGAACATGCATGGAAACATTTATGGAGTAGACGGTTTTTTATGTTTGCTTTTGTTTGCTTGCTTTTTTTTTTACACAATGACTATTATTAGAAGTAGGTGAGTGTGTTATATATGATCAGATGTGACCTTACTTTCTTTATGATCGCTCTGAAATCAATGCTGAGTATCTGGGCAGGGTTCTGATCGCCACCGCAAGAGTGTGAAAAGGAAACTGGTGCTCTTCTAAATGTCCTCTCTCATGAGAAAACTGTCAGCGCTGAAGTCTTTAACGTCGGGTTACTCCGTTAAAAAGCTGTTTAGGAGTAACCCATCTGAGCGCATCTGAGGTGCAGGTTACAGTTAGTCTGGAAGTTAAAGTCTTATTTCACACTCACCGCAGCGACCCGCCGTCTCGTCTCGTCTCGTCTCGTCTGCCTTTACAGTGAAGTACTGCTCGAACTTGCTCAGGTAACACTACTGCATTTATCCATTTTTATTGCTGCAAATTAGTCACTTACTTTTAGACTTCAAACTCTGCTGCATGCAGAGGTCCGTGCCCTTCCGTCACTGCGACGTCAGCCAGCGGATCACATGGCAGGAAGCGAAGCCGCGAGACGTAAACAAGCTCACTACGCCGGCCACGAGGTCTGTGGCAGGCCAGCTTCACGCCCGGTGCAGCTGAGTGCACCTGGCTGCTGAAGCGCCTTTGTACCTTTTTACTATTCGATTGATCTGGCACGTACACCTGATTCCGTTTGTTTTGTTTATCTGTCATTTATTTAGGTCACTTAAACTTATCGGCGGTGATATGGTTCTGTTTTTTCCTCCACGTTTTTGGTTAAAACTACGTTTTATGGACTGTCAGTCTGCGCTCACCTTGCTAGTACTGAATAAGACTATCTTTTGCATTAACACGTGTTCATAATTCAGTTAATACGTGGCATAGATTTATTTAGATTTGTGAATATTTAATAATGTGATGGGGTCATATTCCTGTGAGATTTTTGGTCCGTATTGACACGAGAGCGTCACACACGGTTGCTGCAGAACTGTCGGCTGCACGATCAAACCCTGGAGATGACTGCGTGGGAAAATCCCTGCAGATCAGCAGTTTCTGAAATACTGGGACCAGCCCATCTGACACCACCAACCATGTTCAAAGTCACTTAAATCACTTCTTTTTTTTTTTTTTTACCTCATTCTTATGCTTAGTTTGAAATTCTGCAGGTTGTCATGAGCATGTACACATGCTTAAATGTTGCTGCCATGTGATTGGCTAAATAGATATTTGTGGGGTACCTTACAAAGTGGCCAGTGAGTGTATGCTACAGACCATCAGCCATCGTTGTGAATTTGTCTATGTTTGAGTCCAGTATTGAAAAAAAGTGGAAGATTTTACAAGAAAAAAAACAAAGTTTTAAATACTTGTTTGCGTTAAGACTACTAAGTTTGTTTTGCGTTCCTTTTGAGTAATGATTGTGCCCGTTCTCAGAATATTAGAGGAAATTTCTTTTCACAAAGTAACTTCATCAGCAGATTTGGATCATTATAACAAAAGATCAAAGTTTAAGAGATGCTCAAATAGTTCTTTCCCTGATATGCCATCTGACCTGATTGCAGTGCTTTTTCCCCTGTCCTTATCTCAGCATTAACAATAAAACAAGAGCAGTGCAGTGGTATCTGAGGAATTTTACGAGATCGATCTTTTAGCCAGTCCTAATTTGCCCTGTTTGTTTCCTTGCACGAGTCGCACACATAGTCTTTTTTCACTGAGTGTATCTTTCTATCTGGAATTTAAACCTCTCTTTTACTTTCCACTGTCAGCTTGTGCAACTCTTTAGATCCAAAAAAGTTCAGTTACACTCATAAAAGGTCTTGTGCTTTAACCAAACAAGGCTTTCATGTTAATGCCTCACATCTGAGATTCCCACAGCTTGTTTTTGTGTCTCTCTTAAAGGGTTAAAGGGTTTCCTCACAAAATATGAATCATTCACAGTTCTAATACAAACAAAACCGCTTGAGTGGTCACACTTTCATGTAGCCCATTTATATTTTCATTGGCAGGATGTCTTGGTAATGAGGTCCCAGTCACATTCTTATCCAGACGCTCATTTGGTTTAGCCTCAATCTCCAGTCCTCTTAAATAGTCATGGCCTTTTTGGGTAATCCTCACCTTCGAGCCCTGGAGATGTTTCTCTTTATCTTTGGAGTGTGAGTCATGTGTCTGAGGAGCTCTGGCATGTTGGTACATAGCTGAAGACAACAGTTAGTAGGTTAAAGGAAGTTGCTGGTGGGGTTTTCCAGATAACTGGCTGGGTAAAAGGTTTACGTAATCTTAACCTGAGGTAGCAACAAGGGACACATTACAGGAAAGTGAAAAACACCACATCAATGTTTTTATTTTCATTAAAACATCACAATTATGTACTTGGTACACAGCATGTGATCGTCCCGATTTACAAAACACTGACTTATTAAATCATTTTGTTGAAATGGCAGGAAAGCATTCAAGTCACAGCAAAATTGAGTGTAGGATAGCAGATTTGCCACACAGACTCAGTGTGACAGCATTTCATGAAAAAAGTTACTTTGAGCCACAATTAAAATGTCTAGAAATATGACTTTTATCATTTTTGTGCAGGCTAGCTCAGGGATATTAATTATTAAGGCATTTAAAGCAGAAAGGATCCAATTCTATATTTGAATCTGTTTATAAGCATAAGCAAATCTGTTTACATTTATCAAGATTAGCAAGACAAAGTAGAATTGCACGTGTTTTTGTTGGAAAAGAGTCCCGAGATTTTCCTGAACCTGGAAACATTTCTGATGTGACTAATGTGAATGGCCTGATATTAATTTTAGAGTGAACATAGAAACAATTAGCGGTACCTGTTTTAGTGCATACAAATACACAAGTATTTTTTTTTTTATCAGTAATAAGAACATGAGCCTATTGTTTAGTGTTTTTAGCCATAAAGATTCTGTCAAGGGCCCCACAGTTTTTCTGATATTTCCAGTGCATAACACATTTATTAGACTACCTGCTATTAGAAAAACAAAAGAAAAATATTTTTGAAATATGCCAAAAAGCTAATTTAAAACAAGTTTTTTAATACCCACACTGAGGATGTCTGTAGGAAGTCAGAAATTAATCAAGCATGATGTTCAAGCAGTAATTGTTCTGTTCAGGAATGCAAGTAAGTAACTGTAATTTAATCAAATTTAATTTAATCATAAACTAATGATGCCTTTACTGTTTTTATTCTATTTTGATAACAGTAAATTTGAAAATAATGACAACAATATTTATATTTTAGTATTAAAAATATGATCTTAATTTAAGAGCACACGTTTAACTATTACAGAATCATTAAAAAATGATTTTGGTAAGTACCAGAACTGTTCATTTATAACAGCTATGGCATAAACCTTACACTGGCCGGTGGTCTAAAACATGTGCTCAGCACTATGACTTTTTGCGTCTGAGCTTTGCTTGCACAGAAGACCTCATACCCCACAATTCATACGTCATATATGCCACTCCAGATAAGATCACATTTGTACACTTGTGCATTCCAGTTATGACTTTGTTAAAGCGTTATGTAAAATCGAAATCTGCAATCTTATTAAATCACCATGTGTAATTCTGAGTTGTAGTGCTTACAAGATTATACATGTCACCAGTTTAGCAAGCGTTATGTATGAAGGTTTACCTTTCAGGCTGATTTTCAGATTTTACTATGGAGGAAGCGACAGTTGTAGTTAGCTGATTACACTTAATTAAAACCAAAATGAATTAAGCAGGTCAAAGGCATTGAATAAAGTGCTACGTAAAGACGAGCCTGATGATGTCAGAGTCGTTCGGCAGGTTGGACCCGTCCCGGGCCTTCGGCGTCCACAAGCGCATTCTGTCATTTCGAGTAGTGGGCGAACGGAGACTCCTCATTCACTTTGCCCTGAGAGTTCACAGAAAACAAACAACCCATTCACAGTTAACCAGCAGTCAGCGTGGTGATAAAGTGCCTGCACTGAATGTCCAGTACCTGCTTTACCATCTGAACTAAAGTGGTTCTTTTACAGTACAATGTGTTCTGTTGTTTTTCTTTTATCCGATTACAGTGATTGCCTGTAGGCATTCTTTTCCCCGTTCAGATTAACAATAGGTGAAGTCTTTGCTGTCCCGCTTTAGGCATATTAATGTAATTAACGTTAAGGACTGACAATCAGCTGACGGAGACAAGCGTCTTAAAAAAAATCGTCTTTTTACCCGTTTTAAATGTTAAATTAGTGAATGTCAGAATGGATTACCATGTGAAGATGAGGTTGAGAAACTCCTGGGAAGGGAAGCTTAAATGTTTCATACTTATCTTATTCTCTTTTCTCATAATGTCAGGAATAATCAAAAGGAAATTGCTAAGAATGTGTGAAGAAAAAAAGCGTCATGGATGTGGTCATACATGGACATTATCTAGATCATATTATCCGATTTCTACAGGGGATTGTTTGTCATTTATTAACCCTGCAAGTTATCATTAAGTCCCGACCTGCTCATTTTGGAGGATCAGTTGTTTTTCAGCCCATGTTGTCGGATATGTAGCTCGTACGGTATAAAGTACACTCCAGCACAATGCCCAGTCATGCAGCAATAAAGATTTACACTCGTAGAACACCTTATAAAGAACACTGGTCCGTACAGCGCTGCAGGTCTTGTTTTGCAGCGGTTACTCACACATATTGGCAGCCTCATTGTGGGTCATCTGAAAAGTCTTTGTGATATTGTCTCTGCACACTAGATACATACATGAACTTGTAAGTGCTCCGTTAGTGTGAGAGAGAAGGTTTCCTTTTCAGAAATCTCATTCTTGATTAGACCCTTGCTGCTGAGTTTGAGATATGCCAACAGTTTAAAACTATCTGGCGACGCACTGATACGGCTCTAATGATAGCTTCTCTTGAGAAACAGTCACCACACTTTTCATACACAGACAATCCACTCACACTTCCTGTTCGTGTAAATGAGAAACCACTGTCCTCATTACTAAGGAGACAGGAACAAGAAGAAGACGACATTTAATGCTGGGAAACTTTTACGTGTTACTCATGGGGGGGGCTGACAGTTAACATCCCCGTGAAGCAAAATCCTGGAACATGTTGGCCTTGCTCCAAATCCATGTTACGGGCAAATCCATGTTTTCTACGTGTTAACCAGCACCTGCCTCCCCCTGCTGGGATGAGTAACCTACAGCAGGCAGAGCCTCATACTGTAACTCATGAATTATATTCTTGAAACAATATTCAAGAAGTTTGTCATTTTGTGTGTTTCAGTGCTGATTTTTAAGAGGTATACCAGACCTACAGTAAGATTAAGATTAGGATTCACCCTCTGGAACTGTGAATATCTGTCACGTTTTCTATCTCACCATCGGCATATCTTCGAGCCTCTCAAAATTGGATCTCGGCGATCGGATACATTTCACTGTGAGTACCACGAGAACGAGGGCGAGGACGATACAGAAGATGCAAATGATAGCGACTAAGCCGGGGTTTGACGCCAGGTCATCTTTTTCCCAGTCGGGTGAAAAACCTGAGGGGGGACAAACAGAGAAACGATGAGATAAACAAATGCAATATTTGCTGGACACAGCTGAAATTATACTAATGTAAGAAGAAATCATATTTGCTTTGCACAAGTCACACCATTGGTTTTATGCCTCATTTATTAATTGACGTAAACTGCCCAGGCAGTTGTTTGTCACTTATGGATATAGTTGTTTTTCTCATCACAATGCTTATCCAGTTTATCACAAGCCAGTATTCTTTGTGTTATTGTTCTTTTCAATAGATGCAGCCTTCCAAAAACGTATAATCATGATAACAGCTGAGAAGTCAGGGACCTCCGTGAGAAGTTCAGAGCCTTCCGTTAATCCTGCAGCACTGACCCTGTCCTTGCCTCTGGATTAGCCATTTAACAACATAGACGAGATGAACTGCAATGACCGGAGGCAAATAAAGCAATGGTAAGTTCTTAAAGATTGTGGGACTTTAGTAGCCCTGAACTTTAGAAATTGTCAAATTTGGTTAAACTGCTTAAAAATGGCCTGTATGTTCTGCTTGAATAGACAACAGCAGGCTATCGTTGGCAGATCCAACACATAGGAATAGAAATGCATTTCACTGCAAATAGTTTAGTTTATTCGTTTTATCTTTATAGGCTTTGAGCTTTTTAGCTAATGGCTCTTTGAGAATCAAAGTGAGGCAGCAGTTTGCTGATTTCTGCCTTGTGACTTTCATATTAATCAGCCTAGTAGTTTAGATGCGTTCTCCCTGCTGAAGACAATAGACAAGAGGTTATTCATATTTAAGCTCTAATTTGGCTTTTTTCTTTTTTCTTTTTGTGTTTGTTTGTGTCCTAGATGGTCTGACTCAGCGGGTCAGGGGGTAAACGCTGTTTCTGAGTTTGCCTTCGCCCAAGCAGTGCGTGCAGAAATGTCTCCGCTACCCTTCAGAAAACATGGGTGGTGCAGGATGCCCGATATCCAGTTTGATCCCCGAGTAAACTAAAAAAAATAAGTGACCTGTAACCAATACATGTAACAAAGAAACTTTTTTAAAAATATAATAAATTACTTTGTAATTGATACAGAGATGTCATTTTTATTACATAATGCCAGATGCTTCATTTTATAGGGATATTATTATGGACATGACAAATTGTAAGTCAATGTCCAGCATTTTATGGGTTTCCTATTTGTGGATCATATACAATTGTCTTTTTTGCAGGTTTAAGTATTGCTGGTAATTTGCAGCGGTTTTTTATTAATACAAATACCTTTTAAGTACTGATTTTTAATCATGACTTTATTGTTTCAATAGTAACCAAGGGTGCAAAAGTGATGGAAAATCAACATCAGAGTTCAACAGTGATTCAATGTCAGAATCTGAGATTGTTTCAATATTAGAAAAGGGTGCAAAAGTGACGTTGGGTCAACGTCAGATTTCAACGTTGATTCAATAGAAGCACCTGATATTGAAACAATGTTTAGTCAATGTCTCCTTGCTATCTGGGTCTTGTCATCAAAATTTCATTGAAACCTGAGAAGAAATCCACCATAACATGCAAATGAATTCAATCTTCTGTGCACGCAAAAGCATTTTGTTTGCTTTAGGTCATAAAGTGTGGCACTGCTATGTATAAATTTGTCTATCTGTATTGTTTCTCACTGTCCTTGAACCCCCAAAAGTGCATTAATTTCTTTTAAAATGGCAAAAAAGAGCAGACTGGATGTTTTTTGACCTGTGTTGGTTGTGTTCACAGTGGTGGTTGCAGTGATGTTTGGTGATGCTGATGCAGATGGGAGTGTTGTTTCAGTTGGTAAAGCTGTCTCATTTGATGTCTGGTTGTTTGCTGTGGTTTGAGGAGGTGGGCTGGGGGTGGTGTCGTCTGTCTGCAGCGTTTTTGGTGAAGCCGAAGTGATGACGGTCGTGGACTGCACTGTCGTTTCAGCTGTAGTTGGATGTGTTGTCGTTTCAGCTGTAGTTGGATGTGTTGTCGTTTCAGCTGTAGTTGGATGTGTTATTCTTTCAGTGGTAGTCTGGAGTATTGTTGTTGGTGACTGTGGTTTGTTAGTGGTTGTTTGTGCAGTGGATGAGCTGGATGAAGTGGTGGTTTCTGCAGAGCAGCAAACAGCACATAAATATAAGATGCTGCATTCACACCTTATTGAGATAATGATCAAGTGGTTTGTTGGCATCTTAAAGGTGCCAACAAACCACAAAGAAAGTTTTAATTACATTTTTCCATACTTGCACTGGATGTTTTTAATGCATGAGAGCACTAATGCAGACAAGCATGGCTTAATGCTGTGCACTAACCCTAGCCCTTCCTATTGACAGAGCATGGTGTTGTTGTAATCATCAAAAAGTTCTGACACAAAATAATTGCTTTGTATGATTTTTTTTCTATAACCAACTTTTAGATCATTGAATATCCCAGAGTTTGAATAGCAAAATACATATCTGATGTCTGACACAGACTAACAGAACGTTGCTGGTACTTAAATTTTTGGTAAACTCTATAATAAGGATATATTTCAGCTGCGTTTTACTCAAAATTATTGCTGAAAAATCATTTTATTGAGTGCAAATATAGTACAAAAATAAATCCCAGGTGATTCTGAAGTGGTCATGTAGGCTCTTATTTCACATTTGATTCGTTTTAATCAAGTAACCCTACCTTAACCTAAATATAAGCTTTATTATCACAGATTAGAAATTTTGAATGCTACACCTTTAAATTCACTATTCTGGAGTTTTGCCACTATTACTTAAGTCACACGTAATTAACATGATAGTAATGATGCATTACGCAAAGCTCACTTTCATCATGGAACTCTGTAAGTTTCATCTTCTAGTCACCGCCCACACCCACTCACACCACGTTTATCATAAAAATCATGTTAAGGAAGCTACGTATGTTAGATTCACACCCCTGAGACAATAACAATCTATATGTGCATCATCTTTGTGGCCTCGGACTGTTTATGAAGACGGTTTTAGATTTCTTTACGGAGCCGTGTGGGATTGAAGTTTGGCAGATGTTTGAGTGTAGGCACTTTAGGGTTCAGGTTGGGGTCCTCAACAACACTGTAGCTGCTCTACCTGTTACTGTTTTACCCCTAAAATCCGCTTTGTGTACAAAGAAAACACACCGGAAAACCTTCAAACTATGACGAAGCTGAGATTTTAAATGGTAAATACATGAGCGTTTAGGAGCTTTAAATCACATAACTGTACTTGTACAATTATGCGATGTGGGCAAAGATCCAGAGGAGCTTAAGGTAAGAATGCTGTGACAACTTTCTGAGGCAAGAAATGGCTTTAAACTTGACAAAAGAACAAAAACAAAGTAAATTTCAGAAAACGACGACATGCTGCAAGTGTCTAAAAGCAGATTGTGTTGGCGCGTAGCAGTGGGTCAGGTAATATTAAAGCAATTGCAACGTGTGTTCAGTAAAGTGTTTGCCACAGGAGGCTCGACTTCAGCTCACTATCACTGATTAAATATTAGCCCCAGTCTACACCCAGGTGTGAACTTCCCCTTATGTTTTACAGATACACGCTTTACTTATGATATGAATTTTGTAGTAATGAACAGCAACAGAATGAATACAAATGTCTGTGACAGCACACGGTTGCTTCTTATTACACTTAAAACAAGAGCCAGAGCCGCGCTGCCACAGGCAAACCGGCCGGCTGTCTCTCACTGCACGAAGCTTCCTGTTTGCATAAATTTGCACTTCTACAAGACTTCAGCCTAACGTTCAAACATATAGAACACAAAATTTTGAGAAGTGAAAACTTGTTGAAAAATGCTGACTTACCACTGATGACTGTCGCTGTTAACAGGGACACCAGCAGAGTGAGGTGCATCGTTGCGGGCATGTTGAGAGGGGAAGTGGCTGGCAGTCATATCAGTGACATTCACAGACAAACGCACATGCACACACACACACGCGGTAACTACATCCTTGACAGCAGGATGTGCTCCAAACACGGGCTGTTGCATATCAAGCATTAAACCCTTCACACTATCAGTCAATATTTAAACAAGGTTGTGTGTGTTTGCTTTTGCTTCTATTCCTGCTGCAGGCAGCTGCAGATTAGTTTTTACTTCTAAAATAGATTTTAAACATGAAAGTTGTCTCATGCTGCCAGCTGCAATGACCTATGCTATCCCAGGTCTTTTACTCTGCACTGTGCAGGCTGCTTATGCTGCAGCACAGAGCTGGACACTTTATTTTTGATGAAACAAGAAAATCATTTTGTCCACTGCACGTTTGACACTTTTGTTGAATCAGGTGCAGTGGAGCTTATTTCTGCCTCGCATGTTATTCTTTTTAAGTTGAGTCTTCAACTTTACTTTCTTTCATTTTTATGCTGTTTTAAGGTTTTTGATATTGTGTACATCACTGAAACTTTATAGACCAGTCGTTGTGTAAATTTGACTTCTTGGCATCCATCCTTCCCCTGAGACCATTTCTGATGAGGCCTCAGTGAACAGTAGTGAACAGTAGCTTAAGGGTCAGGTGTGTCTCTCAGGTCACGTTTCGGATCTTTTCTGGATGTTTTCATTTTTCAAAACGACGTGACTTTCAGACATCGTTCATCTGCTGTAGATATTCAGTTGTCTCTTTGTTTTTCTTAGGTCACACTGCCATCCAGAGGTTCCCAGCTTAGAGCTCTTTAGGAACCTCCATGCTGGCACAACACAACACGCGGTGTTATCGTTGGCATATTTCAGACTCGGCCAAATAAATGGGAACAAATTATGCATTGTTGTGATGGGCTGCTAGCAACAACATGCCCTGCTAATGTTTCCTCTGAAAATGGTACAGAACAAGGACTGGAGTGAAAATGAGTAAAAAGGCAGTCAATGTCCAAAGGAAACAACTGAAAGAGATCTAGGGAACTATTGCTTAAAGCCACTTTAAAAATACAAGAAAGTCTGGTTATTGTGAAGGAGAATATTTGAAAATGAGGGGTGGCTCAAGAATTTTGCACAGTATTAAAGAATACATTTATATAAATGTCATTCATATGAGAATAACTGTAACATTGTCCCTAATATCTCCTGTTAAAACACCAACACAGTGATGGTAATAGCCTCCTCCATTATAAGGAGGGCAAATATAACCATGTTTACTTTTGGGTTATAAAAATAAGGGGGGGGGGGCTTTATCCCATTTAATTCTCAATTGCTTCAATATTGATAACATGTTGTAACATAATGTGTCCAAACTAAACTATATGGATAATTAGGATAGAACCACAAAAGTGCCAAAAGAAAGATTTTTTTTTTATTTGATTTGAATTTATGTGAAAATAAATTCTTCAGCATTCAGAAATCTTAGCAGACTTCTGATACATGGCTTCTCAGCTCTTTTACACAGGTAGTACACCAATGATGCATTTTATGTGGAGAACTCTGGGAAAATATTTCATATAATAAATACATTATACGAACACAGCAGCAGCACCGAAGATGGTGTCGCTCCCCACCCTCACAGTGTTTATGCTAACACCATTTATACTGGTTTTTCTCCCCCCATCATCACATAAACTAAATCATCACTGGACCTGCCAAAGCTAAAAAATAAAAATCATCAATAAATTAAACTGGTAGAAATATACAGTCAGTTTTACAGTAACTAGTGAAAAACTACTGCACAGTTAAAAATTACTTATTTTCAACGGTTATTCTATGTGATATGACAAAATACAAATCTATCCATAATCATGCTTCATTTGACCTCAGAGGGTCAAGTTAAATGGAGTGATTGACATTAAAACAAACGCAGCACTGGATGATATATTAAGGCAATGTTCAAAGACATGGTTTGCTGCTGAAGCAGTTATGTAGTAGAGCTCTCTCACATCAATATTGATTGTTTTTTTTGTTTTTTGTTTTTTTAAATAAAGCATATTAAAAAAAATAAAGTAAAAGCATTACTAGAATTAGATTTAAAATTTGGGTCCAATGACTTTTGGGACTTTTTAAACCTTCCCCTTAACAGCCGCTCAATTCACTCTGACAGTAAATGCTGTACCTGAGGGCAGTGAAACAGCTTCTCATCCATGCGCACATCATTCACACATAAACAGACACATTTAAACTCTTTGGGAGTTAAGAAGAAGTGTACCAGCACTTTAACTTCAAACTTCCCAGAGACGCATCAGTTTAAATCTGAGTGACCAACACAGGAACACACACCGTTGCATGAACACAACAGTCCGACAGCAGTTCCAAAGGGAGGAAGAGTATAAATGCATAAAAACAGCAACAAGTATCTTCTCTACTGAGCTTCTTTAAGCCTTCTCCTCCAACGGTTCGGACTGTGGCAGCACTTCCTTCTGTACATCCGCAACGTTGCTGTCTAATGCCAGCTCAGCATGGGGGTCGTCTTTCTGTCAAGACAATACAAATCAGTGGATGCATTGACATGATCAACATCACTTCACTTTTGTACATAAGTGATTAGAAAAGTCAGAGATGCAATGAACCTCATGGGCAGCGCTGGTGAGTAAGAGTCCCAATATACCGTATTAATCCTTTTGAGCTCATACTGAGCCTTTGTAGAGCCCCTCAGTTCACCCGCTGTCAGCCTCCTGCTTAAAGCAGCTTTCCTCCGACTGGCTGCCTGTATACTGGAACCTATGGTTCAGCAGGGATGGCGTTGGCAGTACAGGGATGGCCTGTCTATCTGCAGGGAGCTCTGCTGTATGATGGAGGCAGCATACAAAGTATGTGGTGCAACCCATCTGTAGATCATTCTCTCTTGTGCTGTTGTTGGTCAACCAGCCGTGGAGAGAGAGTTCATTTGACATTCAAAGAGCTGAAGTGAAACTGTTACAAACAATGAATAGTGTCCACTGTAGCTGCCTGCGCTTACAATGCTGCTTTTCTTAATCTTTGAAATTTTCTTCATACACAGCAAAATCTCCAGTGTTAAATTAACACTGGAGAGTGTCTATATGGGTCCACACCTCTGAGTGTTAAATTAACACTTTTGACAGTGTTATATGTTTGGAAAATAACTCAAAATGTTAGAAATATTCCAGTGTTAGAAAAGCAGCACTGCTCAGTGTTAGCCATTGTTAATCTTCAAAACTGACTAGGTTACTTTTAAACATATAACACTGTCAAAAGTGTTAATTTAACACTCAACAGTGTTGTATTTAACACTCAGAGGTGTGGACCCATATAGACACTCTCCAGTGTTAATTTAACACTGGAGATTTTGCTGTGTAGTTCTTCCATTCCTGGTGAACTCCACTGTCACACTCTTCCCTATTTCCGCCCACTTGTCAGCCAATCAGCATAGAGCAGAAACATACCATCTGCTACCAGTGACACACAGTTTCAGCTCCATTCGCCATCCCAGAGGAAATGTGTAAGCAGACAGAACACACACAGCTGGGAGGAGCTACACACAGCACCGTACAGCTGTTAATTGGTAAAATAAGAGGTAACAAAACCAAAAACTTCCTGTGTGGTTGACTTACTCTGTGTTTGAGGTAAGAGAGGTAGGTGTCCCACCCTAAGGTGACAAAGTTGATGTACACGACGCGGAACTTGGGCGAGAGAAAGTAGAAGTTGATCATCTGAGCAGCGGGCCAAACACAGCAGTCTGCCTGTCAGCAAGAACAACGCACATTAAGATAAACAAGCAGGTACTAACTACTCAGAGAAACAGACAAGAGGGGGGGAAGTGTGCTCCGTCTGCTCAGCAGGTTACCAGCTGAGACTGGGAGGTTTTATCTGCTCTGCTGGGTTGTTTTTTTTTTTTTTAACCTTCTGAGTAACAACAACCTCAAGATTTAAGACAGAAGAGCACAGAGCTAAATTGCTACATGTAACTTATAGTCGTAACTCGTAAAGTTCCTCTGTTTGCCGTGTAGAGCACAGTTATATTTTATGTTACTCAATGTTCAGTTACAGTTTAAACGCTAAATTCTCATCTTCTGTTAAAGACAAAGAAGAATTTCAGTTGGGATGAATGAAGAACAATTAATGTTCAACCTCCAGGTTTACTTACCTTGTAAAATTCCCAGAACTTGCCTCTAAACTCTGCCCATCCTTCGGATAAACTGCGCCCCTCCATGAGATCCATACCTGCGATAAACAGTTTTCTGTCAGACATGCGTCAGCGCCACACTTTATTAAAACCACCCTCAGATAAGCGCTCTTATAAACATGAACTGCTAAACTTGAGCCTACTTGAAACAGATACCCTTTGAACCCCATATATGTCTTATACGCGGGGGTTTTCCTTACCCACATCTTTATGCGCAACCTTTGCCTCTGTACATGTTCTCTCAAGTGTGCGTGTGTGTGCGCGTCACTGACAAACTGTTCATGTGCTCACACCCTGAACAACGTGTGAGAAGCAGGACTTAGTACCAGTAAAATCCTTCTCACCTAAAAAATACCACATGCCCAGGGTCGGGGAAGCAACCAGCTGGTCCACCACAACCTTCTTGACCAAGGTTTTGAGAGCTTTGCCCGCGTACACTCTGTCCAGCCAGATGTACCAGTAGTGCAGGAGAGGACCCATGGAGCAGCCCACGGCAAACATGCGAGCTTTGAAGCCAAACAGAGAACAGCCGTGCATGAAATAAATCATGATAGCCCAACATGAGATTATTACAAAATAGTAGGAGTTCCTTTTTATTTTGTAAGAATTGTTTTTTAAAAAGTGTTTAAGCATAATCCTGTTGGCAGAATCTTTACTGCTGACAACTACATTTGTTTTGCACACGTTCTTTGGCATGCTCTCCTCTGTATCCCCAAATCAAATGATAATTCTAACAACAATCCAGATGCTTTTGTCCAAAATTACTTGAGTTCATTATATTTTTATTTTAGAAACTGTACAGATCTGGAGCTCTCCTGCATATCAGCCAAAATAAGAAAATGGTGTATGACATTAAATGCATAAAACTCTGTGTCACCTGTTCGGCTCCAGTCTCTGATTTTGCCAGGATCCCTGTGTTTCTCCCGAGTCTGCTGTAGGATGTCTCCCAGAGACAGCATCACCCCTCCACTCATGATATTGGTGACCAGCAGGTAGCGGCCTTGGAAGAACGGCCTCCAGGAGAACCGTATCCGGACCAGAAACTCTTTACCCGCACGGGGAAGCATGATGTTCAGACAGGAGAAAGTACAGTCATCTGTGGAGAAGAAGGAAAAAGACAAACATTTAGGGTTCATGCACGGAAAGCCAGCGGATAGGTAGATTCATTGTACTAAACAAATTGTAATAAAAGGAGTCAAACAAATGACACAACTTGATCTTCCAACACAGGGAGAGAGGAAATATAATGCTAGCTGACACGTGGAGGCATGTTTGTTCACCTGTGAGTGTAAATGCACGTGCCTGTGTAAATTACCAGTCAAATACTAAAATATCGTGAGATTTAGCGAGAACACCACTTGGTCCCTATTATTTGTTGATTTTGCGCCGCACTGTTTTCTCACTTAAAACCTAAAAGCAATTTTATGTGCACAACGTATATTATATATACACACAAACTGCGAACCTCTGTGAGAAGAATACCACATATGTAGTTTAAACACCACTACAGACTTTATTAATCTCCGAAAGTGCTGAAAAAGCTGTAAAACTCAGAGTTCAAAGTTCAACTATCAAGCTGCTGCTCGTTAGCTAGTTTCTGGTCTAACAGCTCAGAGACGAACACTTTATGTTTTCTGTTTAAAACAATCCAGTCCCGGTCGGCACTGACGTTTACATGAAATTTTACATTCGGTTTTACAATGATACCAGTGAACGCGACATGCAACAGAGAGACAGATGAGGCGAACCTGAGCCGGTATGTGCGTTTCCGCGTAGATGATGCGTTTCCCTGACTTAACAACGCAACATTAATAAACCCACAGTCAAACACACGAATCCACCAGCAATGAAGAGCGAAACGACGATTAAAAACCTTACAGGAAAGAGAAGTTTTTTTCTTGTATCCGCAGACTGCATCCACGACCTGACGTGCTCTTGGACGGGTGAGCAAATGTCTGATTAGCGCAGTGATGTGATGGCGACACCTGCTGGTCGGGAGGAACAACGAAAACTCGTTGTACAAAGAACACCCACCACCCACGTTCTTGGACACCCCACATTTCTTTATATTTTGCTTCCAAGAAGCCAGACTCTCGTGTAATTTTTTTTAAAGTGGTTGTGAGTAAACGTTTTCCAGACTTTATGATACTCTTTAAAAGCTTTTCTTGGATATTGGCCGTGTTTTCACCCATTTTGAGTCTAGTCCTTGTTCCTGACCATTTTGAGAGGGATGCTGTTTGTTTGTTAAGCCAGTTAACACTGAAATATAAATCACTGAGGCATAGAAGCTACTAGATTCAGTGGATGAACGAGTGCTGTGTCCACACAAGGAGGAATATTGGTAGGCTACTTTATGTCAAACCAGTGATTTATGGCCCCCTGTCAAATCATTTATGACTTAGGACAGTAATAAAGGAAGTAATAAAAGTTAATGGCAGTAATATTTTTTATGAATATCATAAGATTATGATAGTTCATAATTCGGTAATAATCAATAATCACATGTCCCAAAAATATATGGTCATGAAAATATGGCGATGGAATAGGAAGATGAATATGCTTGAGATAAAAATTAAAACTATAGAACAATTTTTGTGCTGTTGTCAAGTTTACTTTTTTAATAAAAAATGCCACCTTGGCAGGACCCTGCCTTTGGGGACCTGTGTGTGTGTGTGTGTGTGTGTGTGTGTGTGTGTGTGTGTGTGAGAGAGAGAGAGAGAGAGAGAGAGAGAGAGAGAGAGAGAGAGTAAATGTGTTAAACCCTAGTAAAAAGGTTCTTTTTAATTAAACCGGTGCTTTTGTAACAGTGATGATGAGGAGATGGAAAGTTTATTACATTTTATTTGCATTTGTTTAACCAAAAAAGGAAAATCAGTATCAAACTTAGACTTACAACTGTTCCACCTCAGCGGCCAGCGTCCTTCCTGAAGTGGCCAGCCAACTTTCCCAGATGGCGTCTTATCCGTCCAAAGGGCATTACAGGAAAGTAGGAACGAAAATTACGATCTATAGAACAGAAAAAAAAAACAAACTGAGGAAGAGAAACTTCAACTAGAGGAGAAGTGCAAACAAATGGAGGCACAATATAAACGCCTGGAAGAAATGCACAACGAATTTCTCATGAACAGACAAGACCAACAAACTAACAATACGCAACGCCAGCCCAACATAAAGATTACTTATGAGGGCTGGGGAATCATGTTTGGTCAAGCACGAGAGCAGATGTGCCTGATTAAAGAAAACAGGAAAAAGAGCACTGGATTAAAAGAAATGTCTGACCAGCTTCAAGACAGGGAAGCTTTTATTAAGGAGATACAGTTGGATCTCCAAGGAATATGTACAGAAAGAATCAGGAGCTCCAAGGAAAGCTCGATGAAGGCCTGGAAAACCCCCCAAAGAAAATCAACAAGACATAAAACAGAAAGACATGCAGTGCAAACTCCAAGACACGGAGACAAAATGCAGAGTGCTGCAAATAAGGCTTGATAAAACACTGCACAGAAATGAAGAGTTTCTTCAAGAGAAAGAGCGAAAGGAATTAAAACCGAAAGAAATAGATTGCAAGCATCAGAACATCGAGAAACACAACAAAGGCTAGCAAATACACTGAAATGCAGGCGCAAAAGCAACAAAAAGAGAAAATACAGGAAGACCTGTATACTTCAAGAAATCCAGAGGAGAAATCAGCAGTTAGAAGGCATGCACAACAAAGTACAACAGACTCTCTCTGAGCCTGTTTATTCTCGCTTTGTGTTTATCAAGTCTGTATGTCTCCACGGTGGTTTGCTGTTTTATTTTGACAGTCTCTTGTCCTGCTTGTGTTATGTTCAGTTTTGCTTTCCCTGTCATTTGTCTCAGTTTACCTGTGCCTTGTTTTGCCCAGCTGTGTTGCATCTTCCTAATTACCTGATTTGGATACAACAAGAAAAGTATGCATATTATGCACACACACAAAACACACATGTAGTTATTACCCATTTCTTGTTTTTATACTTAACATGAATTATTCTTGAATAAAGACAGTGATCTGACACATGTCAAATTTAGCCTTGTGTATATTGTCCCTGCCATCTCCCTAACCTGTGCTCTCAAAAGTGAACACAGGTTAGGGAGACAATGGAGGAAATGAAAAAAACCCATCTTGCATAACATTCATTCATTCCCATTTCTTTAGTGGAATCCCCGAAAGTAAAAAGTCATTTTTATAGCATAAAATAGTATTATTATGCCTATAAGATGATTCTCAAATAATGATTAGCTGAAAGGTTGGCATATCTTGGCAGGCTCTGCAGGTTGGATCAAACTGGACAGACAAAAGAGGAAGCAGCAGGCCGAAAACTACATCCATTAAAACAGCACCTGAAAGTCATGCTCTTAAAAAATATGAAAAATTGTGACAGCAGTGCTATGTGTGGGCACTGAACGTGCACAAAAGACTGTCATTAATTTGGACCATCATTTTTCATAATGGCATCACTACAGCACTGCCAGTGCTATCAAAGCATAACTGGACAGAAAAATATGCAGTTATGAAGTCTTGATGTCTTGATGCATGTTCAATCATCCTGGTAAGGAAATCCCAAAATGTTGATTATGTTCATCTGGACGTAGCTATTTCAGTGGGTTTTGTCACTCATCCAAGTGACTTCTTCAGTCACATGTCTATCTATCTATCTATCTATCTATCTATCTATCTATCTATCTATCTATCTATCATTCTATCTATCTATCTATCTATCTATCTATTCTATCTTCTATCTATCTATCTATCTATCGTACTACTATAGATAGATAGATAGATAGATATATAGATAGATAGATATGATAGATATGACTAATAGATATAGATAGATGATAGATTAGATAGTATAGATGAGATAGATGATAGATAGATAGATAGATAGATAGATGATAGATAGATAGATAGATAGATAGATAGATAGATAGATAGATAGATAGATAGATAGATAGATAGATAGATAGATAGATAGATAGATAGATAGATAGATAGATAGATAGATATACTGTATTTCTATTTATGATTGCACATGTTTCAACTTCCAAAATAAATCAATTTTCTGTAAAGCAACTGCCCTGACACATGCCTTACAATTTACAGACAACAGTGGAAAAGCCTGTACAGAAACAACAGTAGTATTTTATGTTTTTGTTTATTGAAAATGCTTTTAACTTTCCACATATTTTACATCTTGTGAAAAAATAGTTTAAGCACCACAATAAAAACAAACAAATGTGTTGTTAATATTCACACTTTGCAAAGCCATAGAGAACGGGAACCTTCTGGCCCTTATGTCTGACTCCACTGCTTTAGATAGCTTATATTTTATTATATGGTCTGATAGTGTTAGTAAAACACTTTATCAGCCTCTCCTTTACAACATACTACTGTTGCCCAGGCTGAATAAGCTGTGAAGAGTAAAACGTGTCTCTCAAGCTGCTACCAGTTCTTTAAACAGCAGTGAATGGTTCTTACATCACCTTATTCAAATGTCTGTGAGCCTCCACACAGGACAATGGCCCCATTAAGTAAAGACACAACACTAACAAAGCCTTTTATTACACCATTATGCAAACATTTAAATCGCTATAATTCAACACTTGCAGGTGCAAACAGTAGCGATAAAAAACACATTAATATTTCACTCAGTCGTTACCAAGGATAGGACACTGTTTGAGTTCTCCAATTATGTTTATATAAATAAATAAAAATTGTGAAATTAAAGCCATATTTTGATCGCTGATGTAAACTACTTATTACTATTGTATTATTATATTACTATTATGTAGACTACATGCTATATATATGATATTACTATTATATAGACTACATGCTATATATATGATATTACTATTATATAGATTACATACAATAGCAAATAAATAAGTAAAGTGCAGGTTTTTTTATAAAGCATTTTTCACAGACAAGCAGTCAGTTGACAACAAAATACAGTAAAATAAATGAGAACATTCGGTGTTAGGTTTAGATGAGGACGTGTAGCTTGTTGGGAAAAAACTGATTTGATGGTTGTGTCTAAATACAAAAATATGAAAATTACATACAATACATAAAGCAGTGAAAGTTGACGATTAACTGCATTTTCACTTTGCTGAAAATCGTTTATGCAGTTGTTGCACAGCTGTCACTTAAAAGACATGCTCATAAAAAGACACTGACCATAACACTGAATCGACTTTACAGCTGACCATGTTTCAGGCAGCAGGTCATCTCTAAACAGAATGTGGATACAAGCTGTTACTCCTCTCCAGCAAACAGGTTTTCCCAGTAAAATGCGGTCACCTGCTGACATAGTAACAGCACAGCAGAAACTGTGGCAGACAGCCGCAAGAATACTAACACGGTGCCTACAACTGTATTTTCTCTTGCCTTGGACACAGATAAAGGGCTGTTGGGACTAAAACACAATTAGGTGACTATGTGGCATGCTATATGTACATATGCCTATTTTCATGACTAAAGGAAAGCAACATTTCTATTTTTTTTTTATCCTTATTATCCTTTTAAAAATGTTATTGTGTCTCATTTCAGCTCACTGGCTCATAAATGTAAACAGTTAAACACTAAGATAAAGAACGTTGCTCTTTCTGTGGATACTAAGCATGATTAATAAGTTAAAAAACAAAACAAAAAATAATACTGAATGGCAATTGTTTAATTCCAGTGACATCATCATCACGTGCAATTTTCTACTAAATGTAAGCTATTCTTTAATAATCAGTGACATGCTTTCAGTATAAAAGATCCAGCTGTGCTTAAAATCAGTTTCTTGTTACTTTATAAAATCCGCTCTGCAGCGCTTACAGCTGCCTTATGAAACAGGCGTTGTACCTTACAACGCATCCGTATGAAACGTATATGAGTGTGATGGTTTTGCAGTGCATTATGGGACCGGTGTCTTTTATTGGGTGGGAATGGACTCAGTGGTTACTGCTGACCCCGTAATCAATAATTCAGCCTCTCCGGCAGCTTTCATCAATAATAAAAGACCGCTTCAGTGTTTGAGGTGGAATATTTCAGGACGCTGATTACGGATCCGGATTCGTTAGACAGGACGTCAATCCTTCTCGTACCCCTAAACCCCGCCCATTTGTCATTCATTTATGTCGCCTTCACAACCCGAGTTACAAAACGACTGGAACTCGTTCTTTCCCTTTTCAAAATAAAAGCCAAGCTCAAAGACGTTGTTTATTCAAAAAGACCCTAGATATCCGTTATTTATTTACCAATCGCTGGGATAACAACTGCGTGTATGAAACAGTTTTTTCAACCGATGGACGCAGTTAAATGAGATAAGTTGGTTTTTGAGGCATGTCACTCGACTAAATAGTAAGTAACTATTTTCATAATCACGTGAGGTATAGGAATAAAAAAAAGTAAGATTTTAAAACCAGCGCTGTGGCTTCTCATTTCTGTCAATTAATTTCGTTGTTTCATTATTATTTTCCTGCATCCTGACCTTTACTACTACAAATACACGTACCTCATAACGCATACACACTTATGTAACAGTCTTAATGCAGAAAGCTGAGATATTTGCCTGTGTAAAGGGTCTGAGTACTTTCCAACCCTGTTTAAAAAGTTCACCGGGTACAAGGTCTTGCAAAGGAAGAAAAGCATGTCGGTTCTGATGTAGGATTGTACGTTTTTTCTCTTCACATTACAAAGAATTGTCCATTTTGTTGTAAATTTTAATCTTTACAAACACTTCTGTATATATATATATATATATATATATATATTAAAAAAAAATACAGTCGGATCAGTTACTCAGTTAATCAGAATCGTCTTTATCTTTCAAGCACTTTGTACCGTTTAAACCAATCTGCTTTTATTTTGAAAAAGCCAACAGGATGTTGTGTCGCGCAACCATTCCGACTTGACAGTGAGTGGTGGTGTTTCTGCGGGTGCTGGACGTGGAGGATAGCAGCCAGATAGAAATAAAGGTGGGTTTTCTTTCTTTATTAATTTTGGAGTTAATGGAGATAAAATCGTACGTTAAATTTAGCGCATTTAGTGTCTCAGCTGCAGTTTATTTTAATCATCCAGCAGCATATTTCAGATGACAGAAGCCTTGACGTGAGATGCCTGCCTTAACAGCTGTTTCCATTGTGAAAACCATAAACCGGCTTCAGAATAACCCGTAAAAACAGGCTGATTGTTGTTATCTGTGTGGATGGATGAGGGCTGCTGCTGCTGCTGCTGTCCTGGATCTCTGGCTTGACTCACGGCCTGTCCTGCAGGAAAAGGCGTTTCACACTGTCCGATGGGTTAAATGAAGAAAACAGGTTTGAATGGATCTGAGGCAGGATCAGTGGAATACAGTACAAACACACGTAGAGCACACTGCACGAGAGTAAATATATGAAACATGTGGGGGGGTTTAAACCTTTTTTTAATAGGTTACACATTTAATAGGTTAATATTCAAATAAGCATCATGACATAACTAAAGGTCGGCATGGAGAATCATTCAACAATCCGAATACCAGGATTATAGGAGTATTTAATCCGTGAAACGCGGCAGCCATATGGAGGACTGTTGTGTTCCAATGCTGAGGTAAAACACTGAGTCAGATCTCTGGGAGTAAGTACTGAATGATCTGTTCATTCATTCACAAGAAAAAAAAACAGACTAAATCATAAATATCGTTTTTATATATTTTAATTATGTGCAGCTAATGAAGGATATGGATGAAAGCACATATGAAACACATATGAAAAATGCATAGAGTTTCATCTGGTTTAGCTGCTGTTTCAAATCTTATACAGGAGCCTACTGAAAACTGTGCAGTGCAGTTGCATTGTGTCAGCCTATCAGCCTGCATTTTGGCTTTTAAGCTTAATCAATAAGTATAATACAATAAGACTGCAAGCATGTTCTTAGGCTTTTTTTAAAGAGTCTCAAAGTGAGCTCACAGCCTGCAGACCACATCTGAATGTCCTCACTGACGGTAAACTTACTGGCTGAAGGCAGAAGTGACGCATCTGCTGCTTCACATGGCAAAACACACACTAATGTTGCCTGGGAGAGATGCCACTGATATGCAGGGTGGATGCCTTTTTTATTACATTTCAGTCAGTTTGTCAGCAGTAGTCTGAGATGTGCCTGTCTGAACACATGTGCAGACAAACAGACTTAAAGATTGGATTTCTTGAGCTAATCCGTGATTATGATGCTTTAAACTATGATTATAGATGCTTTTGAACATTACACACACACACACACACACACACACACACACACCCACATAAACACAATGTCTGAGAACAAAAGCTCTACATAAGCAGAGTACAGCTCAGCAGATTTAGGGGGGCGAGACTATTTTAATGACTGTAACAAGCTCTCAAAGATGTATCCAAATACAGCATCTTTCAGCATGAAGTGGGAAGAAGCATTTTCAATCAACATTATAAATTAAGCAATGCACTTGTGTACAAACACACATGACTACTTTTTAATGTCCCGGATTCACCTGCAGACTCTAACCTCAAAAAGCATCTCTCACATCCTGGCTGCTCTCATTGCTGCTTTCTGTTTTCTGTGCACGGGGGGTTGGGGTGGGGTGGAGAATGAAGTGATGATATTTTTAGCTTCCCCTCCTCTCATCTGCATCTCCACGCTTCCTAGAGAAAGGAGGCACGTGATTGGAGGAAAAAGGGGGGAGAAATGCTGTCTCAGGAAAACTAGGAGAGCCACAGCAGCGGAGTAATGCCACTGCTGTCCAGTTTCAGTAGGTTGTTAGTTATTGTTTCACACATAAGGCTGGTTAGTAGCTGTAAATGTTGCATCACATTGGTTTTAGTAAACATCAGTGTTTCTAGGCTGAGAAACACTGGCAAGACACTGGATTTTTCTTTAACTGCCACTGCATCAAAAGCACCGCACAGAAAGACGGCGGTGCAGGAGGAAAGATGCAGACAGCAGCGTTTTGCTAAAGAGGTCAGAGGGGAAAAGGCTGCTGACTTCACTTTTAAATGGTGATCATCCAGCCAGATCACGCAGATTTGAGTTAAACAAGCCTCTTGGCCAGTGTGAACCGAGTCAGTGAAAGGAAAGAGTTCTGCTGCAGCATCCACACACCCATCGCACTGCATTCAGTCTAGTGCTGGATAAACACTGGAGCCATTAAATGCTTCTGCTCCTAGTTGTGAGTCTGGGGTGAAGATTATGGGTAAAAGTAGTAATGCTACATTAAAACAAGATCTTCTTTTATCAGTCAGTTTATAGATTTGACTTGATTTGACTATTGGGTCTATACGGAGCTGATTACGTGACTGTTTGTTGGATTCACAACAATGTGTCCGTTTATAAATGCGTCATGCATTGTAATCTGAAAAGTAAGTAATGGAGAAATGTAGCTAAGTCATTAAGTGCAGCACTTGAGTAAATGTAATTCATTATTTTCTATCACTGTCTGTTTGTTCTAATAAAGGAAGGAAGGAGTTGCATTAGCTTGCCGTATTGCAGATATGGGGATCTCACCACTTTCATCAGGTTAAAGAGGAAGGTGGCATTGACCCCTCGATTAAGAAGTATTGATGGTGCCTTTTCAGGGTAATGTACTAGGATGAGAAGGAGAAGGATGCTGCAAGGTGGGGACTGCAGAGCAGGAGAGCAGATAAGAGTTTGATTTGAAGATTTGTTAAACATCGTCCCCACTATTGAAGTACCAGTCCAAACACAAAATGATCCAAATAACTGATTTATGAAGGAAAGCACCGTGAACCCTTAAACGAGACAATATTTTTACCCACCTGAGAAAATGTCCTCAATGAAAAAAGGTCAAAACCTTTAGCTTCATGGAGAAGTGACACGTATCCACTTCCTCGTCCTCATCTGCACAGCAGACAAAGATCGGAAAAACTCCAACAAAAACTGACATTTATGCTTCTGCCAAAGCCACAAATCAGAAACTGAATGGCATCCTTACAAGAACAATCACTCTGTGACACTCACAAAAATGTTCTAAACAAATGCAGCTTGATTCAGTTTGATGGAACAGAAATAAAACAAAGCAGGCGGCTATCAGTCAGAGCAGTGACACGTGGCTTCTTCATTGAGCACTTGACAACCTTTGAAAAATGGAAGCCGCTTTTATAACAGATAGAACCTGTCCTGGTACAGGGACCTGCAGGGAGGACGACTTTTTTATTCTGTAAAAATCACAGACGCTCTAAGTTTCTGATTTAGTTATTTGTAATAAAATCGACTGGGGATGTTAGGTTCACATAACCGTCCTCTGATGTTGTTAAGAGATGTGAAAAACCTCTGAGTGAGTCATCTCAGTAACCATCTTAAAGCAGGAATGTGTTTAGGTGATCTGGGATCAGCTGTGGATTAGCTGTCCGTCTGCACTAAGCCAGCCAATCCTGATTAGATGAACCTGACTGGCTGGCTGCAGGAGCACTTAGCTCCTGCAGGGACATCAATCTCCTTTAGGTGGCAGGTTTAGAGGGGGAGCTCAGTGATGTCATTGTCCACCAGTGAAACCTATAACTCTTAGTCCTGATTGGATTAGTGTGGGAAAAAAATGGAAAAGACTTTGCCTGTGGTGTTAAGATGTAACTATTGACAAAGTGCTATTGAGCAAAGCAGAAAGACTCAGAAAACTAGCTTATCCTCTTCCTTTATTTCACAGTTTTCTTAGTGACTCATCCTGATCTTACATGGATATATATATATAGAAACAGAGACTTGAGCAGCCAATCTAATATTAAAACCAGAAGTCGCTGCGGTAACAGATTTGGTTATTATTAGCCATCTCTGCCTGATAAAGCGTGCTTCCCTTCCTCCATCTTCCCTGCACTCTCCGCGATGGAAGGAGTTATCTTTGAACTCTGAAATCTTTTTTTCCTCCTGGCGTTCAGTCTCATCTCCTTTTTATTCGAGACCGAATGCCATTGCTACTTTTCAGATTGTGAGGGAAGATTTGGAAATTTCAGAGCCACTTTGATGGGACCCTAAATGTGCAAATGTACTGACCGTGTGGATCGGCATGCTATTGTAGTTTTCCATCAAAAACACACTGTGTGAAGCCTTGACTTAGACTCAGATATTATTATATCCTACTTGATGTCATTTAGCTTCAAATTTCTGTTGATAATTATATATATGTCTATATTATTTAACAGATGATGCAGATGATGACTGTCATGTTAGACTGGATTGATCCCTGTGGGGAAATAGGGATGTGAGTCAGCATAATCAGCAGCTCAAAGAACACGCTCAAAAATTCAATATGAAATATTATTATACCAGGGAAAAAAAGGAAAGGGAACAGGAAGAGGGAAGGGATGCATGCGCTTAACAGATGTTGTCACCATCTTTCATCTCAATAACCTACATAAAGGTCAAAGTGAAGTTTGATTATTATTTATAGCTTTGTTTTTTTTAATCAAAAGTGGCAGAAAAAAAGTTCCCGGTTCTCCAGCGTCTCCTATTTCTTTTAGTTTTCAGGCTGTTGCTGGATTGTTGGTCAAGACATGGATGACACTCTGGGCTGTAGAAGATATTGATTTCCTAAACAGGCGCAACAGATAATTGATGGTTCAGTATTAGGAGAAACTACAGCTGCAATAACAACAGGGGCCCCGGCATGGGCTTGTGAACCTTCAAGGGTTGAAATCCAAATATCCAGGCAGCTCTTACAGTGCACATACACCTGACTTGCTTGGAAGTTTGCTAGCAAAGCCAAAAGAAAGCAGCGGCATTCTGGAAGCTGAAAAGCATTTGCATAATGAGAATTTGTTAATTACTTTGAGATTAAACACAAAGGCCTCTCTCTATAAGCTTCTGTATCGAATTAGTGAAGGTTAAACCAACTCTCTTCTCTGCAGCTAATCTCAGAGACGCAGAGGAAAAGCAGCATAATCTCACCGCACCGTCACAGAAAAGAAGCAAAAAGCCTGCGGTAGTGTTTGGCAAGACCTACACTTCCAGCATT